TTAAATAATAATTAATCGAAGTATCATTAAAATAAGATTTTAGAATTATTTGAAAATAGATGATGTAATTAAAATCTCGACAAATACGAAAATTAAATGCGAATGAAAGAATTAAATGTTGGACTTACTTCTTTCGCCATTAAAAATGTTTTGTTAAGAACGACATTTCCCTTATTACACCGCTAAATCTAGCGGATTTCATATTTAATGAGGAAAAATAAAAAGAAGAAAAATAGAGCATACGTGATGCGATTTATAAAAAAGCAGTGGTGCTTCGAGGCGAAAAAACGATTTTCATTTTTTGCGTGCGTATTATTCCACGTGCTAAAACGGATATTAAAAGGAAAATAAACAGTTCGATCGGTTAACGTCGAAAACGACATTTACTTAAAAATAGAAAAATAACTTTATCAATACAGTTTTCTGTTATAAAAATACAGTAGAATCTCTATAGTCGCACACGTCGAGTAATCCGACACTCCGCAGGGCGGCACACATGAAACACGGTCACTTAATATGTAAGGGTCATCGATATTATTAAATTTTGGTAGTGAAAAGTGGAGGGATGCTGAGATAGAGGTGGGGTCATATGTCATATCTCGAGAGGGGTCGGACTTAATGAAGATGTTATTCGTTATTATCATTTACAATTTTTTCTTAAATATCTACTCCTCCCTACCCTCAAAATTATGTTTTTATTTCCCATTTTATAATAATTAATAATAATAACGTGTTTTATGACAAAATCTCAGAACAGATGGCGCCAACACATTAATAATATAAAAGTTACTTTTACATCTAATGGTTTCTCTATGAGTTATTTAAATATACATATATATTTTTGATAAACAATCGATTTTCGTATTGTACATTTCCGAAATTAACTGTTGGAAAAGGTGTCTTTACTTTCGATTTTGCTGACATTTCTAATAACTCAGCTGTTAAATTTCTCTCAATGATCAGAGGAAACAAGAAAAATTGGGATTTCAATTATTTACTCTTTCGCAATTTTGCACCTATTTTTTTCTTATTATTAGATCTTTAGAAAACCTAAAGTAATTCCGACTTCCATATTTAATATCTTTGTTTTATGGGAGATGTTATTACAAGTTACAACAACAGATATCGTTGCAGACATCTAAAAAAATAATAATGTTAACTTATCGATACTCAAAAACAATCTCGACCCGCTTTGAACCCGTACGGTTCGAGATTGTTCTTGAGTACCAAAGCAAACGGTCGAGAACCGAGCAATTTTTTCCCTAGAAAATGTGTTCGAATAGCGAATTGTTCGAGTTCGGAATGGTTTGATTATTGATATGCCGCTGTATAATGTTCTGAAGTAATATGTAGTATCAGCATTTATCATATAAAGAATATTATATAAATATCATAAATTTATACTAGAGTATATTTTAACATAATTTTTTATATTTGCATTTCTATAACTATAAATCTGCACATAACATTATATATACGAGTATTTTCTCGATAAATTCATTAAAAATATCTTAATTAAATTCGTACAAAATAATGTAAGTAAATTGTATTAATTATTAATGAATTGATAAAAATAACTTTTCGGTTAATGTTACCTTAGATTCCAAGATGGCGGTGCATCCTGTAATCTCGAATCGAAGCGTTAATTGGTATTCTCGATGGATGGCGGTATCTGATAAAAAGTGTGACGAAATACGAAAATCTGTTGAACATGACGTAAAAATTGAATAGCGTGAATATGCAAAATATTTGATATGACGTAATATCTGGATGTTTCGCGTGCAATTATGCAAATTAATTGATAAGGAGTTGTTTGCTACAGTCTGTCTTGCATGTTTAGTGTACTATCTGTGTTGTTTCTACAATATTTTACTACAAAATTGAATATTTGGTAAATATAATTTATGTAAACAATAGGCTTTATAGTTTATTTTAAAATATAGTCGTAACTTTTCCTAATTTTTCATTTTTTAAATTTTGTTGCTAATTATGTCGTGAAGAGTTTTGTAGACATAAATTCTGATGAAATTTCGTAAGGTCTACCTCCCGTTAACTCAACCTGTAAGGCTGTGTACACACTAGGCGTTTTTAAACGCGCGTTAGCTCAGCGTTCGACGAGCGTTTTTGGAGCGTACGCACTGGCTCAGTTTGGAAATGGACATGAAAGTAATTGCTTGTGTGCCCCTCCTCCATCGTCGCTATAAAAGACGATGGCAGAAGCAAAGTGAATTTTGGGTGCACCCAATATTAGGAGATAGACTGACACATGGAATGTTTGCGACATTGTATCCAAAACTAAGACAAAATGAACCCAAGTTTTTTAATTTTTTTAAAATATCTATAAAATCCTTTGAGCGAATTAAGTCATTGAAAATACATATTTTTATTTACGCAAAAAAATATAAAGAAAGTTTCCATTGCGAATTTAATTTTCTTTCAACCGATCCANTGGAATGTTTGCGACATTGTATCCAAAACTAAGACAAAATGAACCCAAGTTTTTTAATTTTTTTAAAATATCTATAAAATCCTTTGACAATGGTTGGTGTCTTTTAGATATCATCAATAAATAGATCAGTATCGAAATGATCGTTCTCTATTTCAGCACATATATCTCAAAGCGCCCGTAAAGCGGCCGCAAAACGCGCGTTTTAACAAAAATCTATAAACGCGCGTTTAACGCGTTTGAGTGTGTACGCCTATATAGAACTCTTGGTTCATTAAAACGCGCGTTTAAAAACTCTTAGTGTGTACACAGCCTAACAGGAATCCCTTTTTTTTTTATTTTGTTTAGAACATGAAGTTGATAATGGTTTTAAAATTGCTGTAAAATTAGGTAGATAACGTATTGAATCAGTGTGCTTCCTATGTTAATTTCATTATCGAAATAATCGAAAAACATGTTTTCTACGTAGTAACTATTGTAAAAGTATGTATTCTGCTAACAATTAACTTTTTAGATAAGTTTTGTCAATATATCTTGGGGATGTGTTTCGTCGTTCATTTGGCACTATCTATGACTGGAATGTACCGCAACAAATTTGGATTTTGCGGATGTTAAATCAAGGTAAGCTAGCAGTGATTTGTCAAATCAAGTACGATTAGTGATGCTTATTAGCATCGATGAACATGACATTCTTTAAAGAAGAAAACAGAGAAGAAAAAGGAAGAGACAGCAACCAATTTGAATACAAAGACAAATAAAATAATGTCTACAAGTGTAGAAGAATCGATAAGCAAGGGGATGAAAAGGCATTCAACAAGTGGATATGAATCTATCAAGTTAGGAAAATAATGTTGGATCTACAAAAAAAAGGATGCGTTAACGTGAGTAATAATTTGTTTAATTTACTAGTGTGTTTATTATAGTTTATTATAGTTAGTTTATTATATTCTCATCTCCGATCAAAATATCGTTTTCCGCTCAGTCTCGCGACTAATTCAAAATGGCGACCGGGTGCACGCCATCTTGGAACCTAAAGTAACATTAACCAAATTTTCATATAATACAGTTTACAACATAACTCAAAGCTTTTGTAAACTGATTATAGGCCTACAGTATTTTAAGAAATTTACAAGGTTTCAGTCTTATTTAATTTCAAATTACTTTCGAAGACATTTTATTATTCAATATGACTTAGCTGAATGCATACAATAATAAAAACACCTTACACAATTACAAAATTAAAGGTTTATCACCCCACTGACTTACTCTACAAGACCAAAACGCCATTGGTGGAAACTAGGTCGAAGGCATAGAAATCAAAAGATAGAAAATCGTCTTTAAAGAGAAAACGATAGAAATGTAAGCGAAATCAAAAGAAAGCAAAAGTTAAATGATTTTTTAAATTAAAACAACGAAAAATTAGAATGAAAAAATATACCGTATACTATACTTCAATATCCAGCATATTAGCAATATTTACATAGAATTATCCAAAATTTTATTATGGTACTCAATGTAATGTGAATTAGCAAAAAAATTGTTTCGTTTCTTTGTGTCTCGTTCTGTTCTGAAGTGAACATCATCACATTTTTTGATGTTAAATTCCCTTTTTTCGGAATCTTTCTTGTCAAATATTCGGGAAAGTGGAAAAATATTCTTGAATACGGATTGTAAACCAAGCTCCATTTCTCTGGTTCCACAGGTATCTCCAATAACTGTCCTTTTATACCACGCTTAAAACTTACTACGAACCTTCCCTTGAAACGCAGATGTTAAAACTTCGATTACAGTTCCTTTTCATTCCTAGGAAATTTTCTGTTTCGTGAATCAAACAATTTTTTGGTGGGTTCACAGAAATCTCTTACCATCGTTCTCGCTGTCTTCATAACAACTACTTTTGCAGCTAAGAACTGAGCGGGTTTTCTAACATAATCAATTTCTATATGAGAAGTTTACACATTTTCAATTCCCGCACCTCTTCTTCTTAAGAACGACTTTCGCCATGCGTTCTCCTTCTTAAAAAGCTGAAGTTTCCGCCGCGTCTTCTTAAAACCACGATATAAAACCGAATCTGACGATTTTATACTAAAACACAAAAAAATAATAAAAGTGAAACAACCAAAAAACACAAAACTGTTTAAAAATGCACAAGCGCTAATGCCGTCCTCGCAAACTTTGCTTGTTGAACGACCGGAACGCCGCCCTATCCAGAGCAGTTGTGTCTATAACGAAAGGTGATTACAATGGCAGCTCTCCATCTATATTATATATTGAATAATAACCTCGGTTCGGTCTCTCGGAAATATCAAGGAAACATTTCTCATTCGTGTTCTTGCAGAATTTCGGTGAACTTAGTGTTAATATTCACAGTCGATAACACTTTCTTTAATGATTACGTCAATTGAGTTAGTTGGACAGGTGTTTTTTCCCCGTTCTAAAAGTCACATTGTTACAATTAAAATTTTATTACTAGATTTTCTCATATAGCTTCTGCTCAAAACCACTTTACACGAGGATTGATTAACGAATAAGATTTCCATTCTTATCAAAATAGTTTGGAAAAAAACATACGAAATTTATTATTTGAGAACACTAGACAATTCCTTAAGGAAATAGTAAAAAATTATAGTACGTTTGACATTGTACAGTTTATGTCGCGACCCTCGAAGAAATTGTGTTTTCAACAAGAATGTAGTGATGACAATAGTGAATATTGCAATTGGAGAAATCATTGCCAGACAAGACTTAGAATAGAAAACTACTACACACCTACATTATAAAAATTAGTGAACTACGACATGCCGAAATAATCTGCGTATTTTAAATTCCACTTTTTAAAAAACTTGCGCACGGGACCAGACTTGGTCATGGAAATTCAAATTTAATTATATTTTCAAATATTACGATTAGTCAAAATTTGCAAAGTTTCTTAACGACAAGTTCGCGACGACGAAACATGGGCAATTATACCTTTCGCATTATTCTCATCACTTCTTGGTAGACGTAACCAGGCGCGTCCATTCCGATCACGAAATCAATGTGCGCCCACGTGGGCAGACTCACTCGATAACACTCCACCAGATTTTTCAGTTTCATACGAAGGAGAGCCACGTCCACGGGATCTGCCAGAAAGTCGTTTAATGCGTAAAAGAGCGCGACTGGAGTTCGAATGTTTTCTACATTGTACTCCGGTGGGGTGGTCTATAACAGAAAACGCTATTGTATCAATGGAAAGAAGACGGATATATATTCTCAATTAACATACAAAAGAAATTTTATCTTACCTTATTGTATTTTTTCATGTTTTCGGTTTTTCCATAATCATACATCTGAAAATTTTTAGAATTCACCATCTAATAATGAAAAAAATAGATATATTATAGTCGAATTTCTTGTTACTTAGATTCTCCAACCTCATCCCTTCTCTCGATTTTTTAACTTTAATACCACCTGAGCGAAATGGACGACGTTTTGGGTGGATGTTCCGGCGGGAAAATTCGTAGCGTAGACCTCCAGACGAGTCTGAAAGACGTGTCTCGTTATTTTTTATTTTTGTCTGAAGAAATGTCTCAAGTTTACCTTATTTAACTCAGAAGGATCGAATCCGCTGATTAGGAATGCGACGTTTTCGCACAGGAATTGTAATTCTCGGTTGCCACAGATAAAGCGAGCCAACAATTTCATGATCAAGTCGTTGGGCAAAAACTCGTAAAATCCAAAAAGCCGAAACAAAGGCTGAAAGAAACTTTTTTATAAATGAAATAGAAGAAACCTTTATAAATTCTTCGTCGCCACTCACGTCTAGTATGGGAGCGAAAGGAGCCAAATAACGGATGGGACTGGTGATATAACCCACCGTGGCAACGGGTCCGAGAGCCACGACGACTTTTATCTGCAGAAAAGGTAGAAGTTACAACGTAACAGACGTATACTCCCGACGTTTTCCTCACCTTATCGTAGTCCGGTCTTTCCGAAAGTAGAGCAAACGCCACCGTGGTGCCTTCGGAATGCCCCACATAATATAATTGACTTTGATTGGTGACGTTCAGAGCGAACTCCATCATGGCGGGAAGATCGTACTCGGCAAATTCGTCGAAACTGGAAAGAGGGAAGTCGTCCGATTTGTCTCCATGCGGAACCTACTTACCTGAGTCCTAATCTGATCTGAATTTTTTTTCTTTTTTACTTTACAACTGGGTGCATTTGTAGACATTGGGCATCTTTAACATCACTATTTATTCCTGAATAAAGAATGATGTTAAAGATGCCCAGTGTCTTCCTATGCACCCAGTTGTAAAGTAAAAAAGAATGAAAAAAGTCACGGTTTCGGGATAAGTTAAACTGACCTGAATTGCCAGAATTCTTTGTCCCGTGGCGAATACTTTACGTGTTTCCTTGAGTAAGTGTTTCCTCTTTGGTTTCCCAACCACACATCGTAACCGGCATCGGCTAGGATGAAACCTGAAGCGAATAATAACAGTAACAAACCAAAATTCGTGTTTGGTATTTTTTTCCAAAAACAGAACCAAACAAAATGAAAGGGAAAGTTTCATTCAGATAAGAAGGTACGAGATTAACAATGATAGAATAAAGCAAGTTATATAATACGTGTATAAACAATGATATCAGATTAAAGTTAACATTTTTCATTTTACTCCGCGTAAAATCGTAGTGACGAAATAACTCACCTAGACTTTCATTAGGAAAATTCATCACCCAATCTGCCGAAGAAGAGAGGAGTCCGTGTTGAAGGAACACTACCGGACGAGTTTTTAGGGACGGTTCCGGATCGGATCGTCCTCGCGGTATTCTCTGAACGCCCAAAATGTATCCGTCTTCGGTTTGGACCCAATATTCTTCGACGGGGTAACCTTTGCTGGTTATGAGTTGACTCTACAGAAACGTTAACATAAACAAAAGAAGAAATTCAATCGAATATTCGGAAAATGGTAACTCACGACATTTCTGTAGAAGTCCGGATCCACTTTAATTGCAGGTTTGTAGTTAGAATAGTTTAAAGGAATCGCTCGAACGAAACACAAGAAGAATACACAGACAATGTAATATGACATATCGATAATCATGTTTAACCAAGTAATCCCGTCAGTCTTTTTAACGACAATAACGGTAGCATGTCAATTTTCTATTATTATAATTGAACTATTATCATAGTACAACGCAGAATTGGATATTACGTCAAACAAAAAGTAACAAAATCATCTTATCACAATAAAAACGCAGATATAATATAAACAAGATAATATTCAAACTGATCCCAAGATAGCGATGTTTCAAACAGTTATAACATTGGAGGTTTGTCAAGTTTTTAAGATCGCCAATGCGAATGTTCGTTAAACTGTCGACAAGTAACGTTGAATCAAAGATGTTCGTTTCGACTCGTGACGATATCGTTTAGCCACGAGGTCGTCGATTGTCAGACGGACAGTGTGATTCTCTGCTTTTGTAAAATTGAGTTTCGTTTCCCGTGTGGAAATACTCACTTTTTCATACTCGAAATGAGTGGTTGACGATGGAAGTGGTTTCGAGATAAAAACGTTCTTTGAATATTTTATTCGTAATTTTTGTTTGTATTCTTAACACGGGACTGAGAAAAATACTGTGGGCCATCTGTAACTCACAAAAGTACTTACAGTCGTTCTGTTCTTTCTGTTTGGAAATCGGGCGTCGTTCCACTTTTCCAAAACGAACAGACAATCTAAGTATGCAAACTGTACAATGAAAATATTAAACACTACACTGGGAATCGATTCAGGTAGAATCTTTAACTAATGATTTATTATTAAATAGTTTTCGTGTAACAGAAGTAATACCAAATATAGAAGAATATTCGGATTTTTCTGTGGCCGCGAATAAGCCCGAATATATCAATAAACCAACAAACGCCTTAACTAATCGGGCTATAATATGGCTATAATTAAATAATAAATACAAATGAATTTGGTATAGAGGTAAACGTTAGGCGCCATCTCTTATCTAAATTAAAAATTATAATTATTAATTTAGATAAGAGATGGAGTCTAACGCCAGCGGGCGTCCCGGGCTACTAGTGAAATATAAAACAATCGAAATGACAGTCACCGGTCGCATTTAGCACTGCGATTTCTGCATTGCCGCCAAATTATGACACGACCAAACACGAGCCGACAGTATGTCACAGTCACCACAAACTAAATTTGCAGTACGCATGCATCGTACACAAGATTCGGCACACAAGCAGGAGCAGGACCGTCTTAATAATTTTGTTGCCGATCTTCTATTATTATGTTCAACAGAGCGATTCAACGCGGGCCAAACATCAAATTTTCAAAAATTCTCTTAAAACTTTTAAAATATATCGAAAAAAGGTGGTGGAATGCCGTTCCATTGCGTTCTATGACAAAAAAGCGCCAGGTAACCTTATGTCTGGCATGCAATTTTATACGCGTGAAGAGTATCCAAAGCAGTGGCATAGCTTAGTGGGGCGCGGCAAAATTTCGCAATAAATAATAATATCTTGTAAAAATTTGAACCATTTCATTTTATATTTTTGTCGCGCCTACGATTCGAACCGATTGAAATGAGCACGGAATTTTTCATTACTTACGACGAAATTGAATTTTAGTCTTTTAAATTGAAATACCTAAATAAGAGAGCGGCGAAATTTTCCTCCGCCCCGGGCGGCTGACATTCACGCTACGCTACTGATCCAAAATAATCTAATAAAGCAGAGAAAATAGACCAGAATTGGATGAATCAGTACTTTATAATTATTACTAATACAGTGTAAACAAAACATCATTTGGCGTATTAAAGTATTTATTGATTCATTTTAAAGGTTTCTCGCTGTTATTTCTACGATTCTATTAATTCATATATAATTTATTAAAACTTATTACGTTTTTTAAATATAATATTACTTGATTAGTGAATACGTATATGACGCGATTTAAAAAGTAACTTTAATTAAGTGTACGTTGAACCTCGCAAAATATTTGTACAGATGTTTTGACGCGATTGAAAATTCTTTATGTTGTATTACTCCTATTTGTTCATCAGTGTTTACCATCACATACCGTCTCTTATTCTATCTCTAAAAATAACATTTCAGAGGTCTCCGACAATATAATAGCACTGATTCTAACGTGATAAAAATTAGACAATTTCTATGAAAAGTATTGGGTTATTCAGGGGTCTAGAGTTATTCAAAAATGGTTTTCTTGGTTTTATCAGTGTAAAAGAATTTATGCCAAGATTACTCGGAACAGAAAGACATTTATTTATTTTTCAAACAAACTAAATAATTTTGTTCGCACATCATGAATTAATTGATGGTGTACGAACTCGAAGAAATCCCCGAAATTAATAAGTAATTATATAAAAATTAGCAGATAAGCCCGGTGTTGCTCGGGCAAAAAGTAACGATAGAGAAGATTAAGATGATTACATTACAGCCAATCTTACCCATTTTCACAGAATGCAAGAATTAGGTCCACCTATTTCCAGACTAATTAAAAAAAATTTAGATGGGTCTAAAAATATGTTCGATTTCCCGCAAAAACGCAAAATCCGCATCTGAGCCTGTAAATCTTGCACGTCGCTTTCTCTTAACCCTTCTATTCTTAACACTTTTATTGTTAACACTTCCCCCGCGGGGGAAATTTCGAAAAATCCCTTCTTAGTGTAGTACGTTCTCATGACGTACTCTAACTGTGTATCAAATTTCAACCTTCAACTCCTAACCGTTTGGGTTCTGCACTTATTATTATTATCAACCCATCTCGATTATATATATGGATAAGATTTGTGTTATTAACATTATTTTTTTCTATTTATGTCTTTTAGAACCGCTTATTAACGCTGTGATTATTTGGCTTAGCCAAAGCAAAACCGATATTTGTGCAGTAGGAAAACACCTTATAATAAAGCCTGTATTTCGAAACAGCTCCGAGGCTCTAGCTACTATGTGAGATCTAATTGCGAGATACCACTCGTGATGCCCGACAGAATAGGTATGTCTTAATTAATCTGGCTAGAACTTCTCACCGTAGCTACGTTTGCACTGTGAGAAGTGACTTTCCGAGTGTCATGTGATTTTCCGTTACATTCGACTCTTCTCACGCAACTAAAATCTGCAAAAATACTCGTGGTAGAATTTTTTGCGCTCATATAAAGTGCTTTTGGCTCATCTAAGCCTTTTCACAGATATAGCGCCTCAAAGTGGCACTTGGTCACCTCAAATTCACCACAGACAGTGGCGCTTTTGGAGAGAGTTTCGTGACACCAGTGACAGGTGCTACTTCCTTGTGGATTTTGCTACTTTTAAAAAATTCCGTGCTATTTTTAGAGTATCTTATCTGGAAACTCTGGCAATCCGTGCTGCGATGAGACACACGAACTTCAGGACTTTGACACACATATTTTCTACCATGCACAGGAATAATTTAAGTACTCTTCACTAGATGGTGTAATGTGTATAGTGGGTAGATGTATACAGTGCCGTGACAGACCGCTTCTGATTGGCTACGCCATATTCCTTCCAGTTTCGTATTGTTACCTACTTGTGTGTTCATTCACCAACTCATTTTGTGCATTAATTAATAACAAAATGAGTATGCATTATGACTTATGCACGTATCTAAATACATTTTATTAAACATTTTCAGGTGTTTTAAGAAAACGATTATAACTTTTTGAATTATTTGATTTTGCATTTGTAACAGAACTCTATATTATTGGTGTGTTTTGTCACATTGCTTCAATAAATAAAAATAAAATCGCGTATTTATTACATATCAGTTTATGGCCAATTATTAATTTCTGATGACACGTTGGATTCGAAAATTGTGTCGTAATGAAGAATATATACAATTTCCTTTTTTCCCGAGAACTATCAGTCAAAATTTTATATTCAATACTAAATTTATTTTTTAAGTTTTTTAATTAAAAATATTTTTTTCCTGTTTATTGCTTGTTTTTGTATAAAGTAACGCTTTTATCTGTTTGTTGTCACTGTGTGCAATCTTTCAAAATTAAAAAAAATTGCTGATTTATCTGGAAAGTGTGAAATAAATAATGATGTAAACAAATTTCGGTAAAAGCGTGTGTTCCTATGTCGTCACGAAACAAAACCTATCGTGACGACATAGCAGTTTTTACAATCTTCCTAAGACGTATGCACGCATCTAATAAATTAATTGATTTCCATCATTTTAAAACGTCAGTTTAGTGAATAAATTTACCTTTTTATCATTGTAATTGTTTAGCTCATTATAAATTAAATTTAAATACAGTAATACCCCGAACTTACGCGATAGGTGGGACCGAGCGGTAACTTCGTAAGTCGAATTCGCGTAAGTCGGGGTATAATTTCGCAAATAAATACATACAAATAATTTTTAATTGGGGCCGGAGACTAAAGAAAACAATAATTTAGAAAAAAATGTTTAATAAAATCTTAGATAATACATATGTATAACAAATTAGGCCTATATTATTTTACAATTTTTCACATTTACTTGATTATCACACCATAATTTTAACATTGTTTCCATCTCAGGGATAATACCGTGACGTTTACGAATGATGCTTGAATTTAAAGATTGAGCATTTTTCACAGCTTCGAGAATTTTTTCTTTGCCTTTTATAATTGTTCTGACCGACAATTCCGGTAGATCAAACTTCTTTGCCAATTCACAAATTTTCATTTTTGTATCG